AGTGTAAACATGGTCTTTTGGAAACCAAAGGGAAATACGATGCTGAATGTTTGCTTTCTGGGTCTAAAAATTAAGTATTACAGAAACCCTTATCTTGGTTCAAAGCTCTCACTGAACACGTTAATGTCACATATGTCAATAAATAGATGCTCAAATATTTCTTTATAATCTCATAACAAGAACTTCAATAGAATATTCATATTCTACAGTCCCATCTAATTGTGGGAAATGTCATGGAGTAAGTATTATCCTTGGTACTGCTTATTTCTGTAATCTGCTAGAAAAAAACGAATAACACCAGGAGTTTGTGTTGTTGTTGGAAAAGCAACAATTTTCCAGCAATTTAACTACCCAGAATATAATTTCTGAAGCAATTAAAAGCAAGTATATAGAATATTCATAGCTGTGGTTGGTGATTAAGAAACTTTTAAAGGCACAAATTGAATTTATAACAGCCTAACCATGGGAATAATTAAAATTAGTGTCTTGCCTTAGTATGAAACTATTCTCTGACTCGACATGTACTGTAGCATCACTCTCAATAGATGGACAGTATGTGATACAAGGCCAGTGCAACAGCTTTGCTGGAAACTGCACCATTTTCATTAAGGTAAAGTCTTTCAAAAAGGAATATCTGTTAGGATGTTATACGGCCATTTTGACTGAATAAACACTTAGTGTCTTTAATTCTATCAAGTATTCACCCTTCAGTAGAATACTGACACCTTCCATTGTCAGCATTCTTCTGTCTTTTGATTTACCACTTCTGTAACTGTAATAGCTGTCCTGTTGCACCATGTGCTTAACTGGAGCATTCTTGACAAGAACAATCGAAAGCATGTATAAATGCAGCACAAACAGCTGTATCATTTTTTGAGTCCTTGTTGAAAGCAGACTATTGTTTTGTTTACACCTTCTAGTATATCATACCATCTTGTGTTTGCTTCCTGGTTGGTGGTCTTTCTGTTACCACTGCTGTAGTTCAGTTTATTTTCTAATCACAGCTGGATTGGTAAGAATAATATAAAACCAAGAAAGAAAAATAGTTGGTGCCCCAACAGAATAACACTGCTCTCAACTTTTTACTAATAAGCACCTCATTTATTTGCAGTATTGGTCAATATGGCATTACTTCCGTGATTCTACATCTTAGGCCCACTCATTGTGCTGCATGTCACATTAGATGGTACAGAGAAAGCCATAATTTATTTTCATCAGGACCATCTCTGCAAAACCACTGGTTAAGTCATGCACACATCTTTCTTCCCTCTTTCATGGGGGGAGCTGGGTCCTGTCTGCCAAGCAGTAGAGCCATTTTTGGCAGCTTCCTGGTTATGGAGATTGCTGGTAGAGAATGTGTCCTGCTGTGTCATGTTTGGGAGATGGGAGCACTTGACCTGAAGTTAAGTATGCCTGCACATGTTTGAGGAGGAGTTTTCATGCATATGTTCGTATGTGCAACCTTGAAGACACTATTGAACAAGTATTAAACTTCTATAAGATTAATAGTTCATTATTTGCTTCAGCTTGAGAAGAGTCAATTCTCTACACTTCTGCTGCACCGGTCATGTTTCTACACTTGTATTTGTTAAGAATACATAATCTTGTGTCCAGGACCTATATTCCCGTGGCAGGTGATGGATTCATAACCCATTGTACCACACCAAGTGGCAGATAAGCCTCCATAGCTTTGAGCCTGAAAAGACATAAACATCTGGTAATGGGGAGAGTTTTGATTCTTATAATGCCAGAGAGGAAAGTAAATACTGCAATATTTCCTCTTGCATTTTTCCCCAAAACCTCTGATACTGGAATGTGGATCCTGAGTTTACACATAAACCACAGCAAATGTGTGGATTCTCAGAGAATTTGACGTGCTGTTTCATGTTAATTTGCTCACTAAAATCCGTCTGAAATAAGCAAAGTAGCCTATTCAGAATTGTAGTAAATTTACATCCAGTAGTGAAATACCCAAAGCACAGTTCTAGTTCACCCAACAGGGAGTCTGTTGATTGTTCAGCAGAGAAGAGAAATTTATGTCTGCTGAGGGCTGAAGCACAGTGGTAGGTATAAAAAGAAATTCTCTGCTCTTGGCACACTCTGTTTGTTCCCTGGACAAACAGAGGCTCATGGAATTGTGAACTGCCAGTTGATTGCTTTTCATATGCTGTTTATGCTGATGAAAATTATAGAAAGAAAAATAAATTTCCCAAAGAATTTCAGTTAATGGTGGTGTTGGGAATGTGTGTGCTTGCTGGAGAGAAGTGCTTGTTTAGAGCTGACAGTCTGGGGTGTCTGGGTTGTGAACATGCTAGTTAAATCCTTAGTGTTTGTAACCACTTTACCCCCTCCTCTGTCTTTTATTTACCCACAGGGTTATTGCTTTCCTTGAAGCTATTGTGTGCATAAAGTTTGGACAGGATCTTTTTTCCAAAACACAAATACTGTATGTTGTGTTTTGGCTTCTCTGTGTGGTAAGTGAGATTTCTCATGTGAAACATAAAGCATGGTAAAAGCATTGAAAGCATCTAAAGAGTTTCCTCTCTGGAACATTGGCAGCAGGGGATCATTGTGGGGGGAATGCTGGTAAAGAGCTCTGTGAATGTATTAGGAAAAGCAAATACTAGATAGTTTAGAACACACTTTGAAGGGACTAGAATAACTTTTCTTCTTATTTCTTGACATAGCAGAATATAGTCACTTTAAGACTGTTTAACAATTAAACAAACAATAGGTTTAGGGTGCTTTATGAGATAAAATGTGAATTTGACTGAAGCTAACTTTGGTGGTACTTGCTGTAGTGTCCACTGAAAAGGAACTGGAGTTAATGAATAGCATTAATAAGTAATGCATGTTGTTCCACACTGAAGTCTTCCAGTGACGTAAAGAACCCTGTTCTATCAGGCAAATCATTCCCACTCAGCATGCGACTTTCTGTACTTTAGTGTGATTACTGCAAATGCAGCATGAAATGCCCATTTTATAACAGTAAATGGATATCTGTCTTGCCAGACTTGTAACTCCAATGCCAAACACATTTTTAATTGTCAGTGAAAAATAAGGCATTTATAATAGGCTGACAGATAAATACTCCTAGTTGGGAACACAGTTTGAACAGGTGATAGCAAGTCAGAATGTATTGTTCTCTTACTCAGCATGATGATTTTATTCCTGAAACTTTAGAGGAGAAAAGTATTGAATCGCTTCCCAAATTTAGAGCACCATAAAACCAAACATGTAACCAGGCCTGAAGGAGGATTAATTTTTCTCACAGACTGGTTGTTCCTGATAATATGTGTGAAAGTGCCTTTGTATGATGACTCTACGGAGTGAGGACAAAAACCATAAAAACAGGGTGTCCTGCATGTGTGTGGTTCATCTGTATGTATTCTTATGCTCCTGTTGAGAATTGACCTGCATACCTCATGGTGGCAGAATGTATGTGTACCTTGAAGTTAAAGCATGAGTCTTACTCGTGCTGACAGAAGATGCAGAGAGAAAGAGTGTGGAAGTCTCTGAATGTAGACCCAGGGACTCAGAGACCTTGAACCAGCAATAAATTTGGAAAAAAGTTTTACAGAATATTTTTTCTTCTCCTCTCTTATTTAGGCCTTTACAACTTTCCTGTGTTTATATGGTATGGTTTGGTATGCAGAATACTATGGCCTCCGAGAAAAGGTACTTTATTAAGAAGCCTGGTTTTGTTTAATACCAGAGTTCATACTGCTAAGCTCCTAGATATTAGAATTCTTTACCAGAGCTAGTATAAATGGGGGTGAGGGTGGGATGGCCTAGAGTCTAGCTGAAGTCAGTAGAAAGAACTCTGAATTCAGTTGGCCTTGGACAGATCCCAGATTACACTGTGGTTTCTAAAGAATGCTGTCCTCTTAGTTACTCAAAATGAGGTTGTAATTTTAGCAAAGCATTCAGGGATGAATGCTTAGCTAATGTTCTCATTGTACAGGTGAAATGCTAGGGGAATATTAAGAATACTTGGTTACATAAGAAATCACATGGCAGGTGGTGAGTTTTTATTGTATCATGTATGTTGTACCTTTTAACCAGAAAGCAAAAAGTCCTAAGTACTGGCTGAATGTTTTATGAGGACTTCTGTCACCGTTTAAGTCTACAAGTCTAATTGCAAACAGGAGAAGTGCTGATCACAGGAACCACCAGCATCCCAATGACATGTGCCCTTGTTTTTGCAGACCTTATCAGAAAGTGAAGACAGCCCATACAGTCCAGATGCTTCCTGGCTTCATTCTAAATTCAGTAAAGGTATTGGCACTTTTGCACCTATATTCTCAAAGTGGTAGTAATAAGACTCAAGACTAGGAAATGAGGCTTGAGAAATTTACCTTGCAGACAACTGGACTTATTTAAACATCCCTGCAGGAGCTATACAGATCTACCATCTGCAGAGCTATTCTGCTTTACAACTTTTCTAACTCTCAGAAATGTATTTTTTAATGAAGCAGCTGAATTTTTCTGCTGTTTATTCCAGGCCATTCTTGTTAGGGCATTATGCATTTCATAACTGTTGTGGACAGGTTTTCTCTCTGAACATCGCATGTTTGATTGAAACATATGAATGTGAATTGTACTTTTATTCCTGTTTGTTAAGAAACAGTCAAGAATGTGCCCTGGAGCGTTCTTACTGACACTTGCCTAGTCAATGTAGTGCTGATGGTCATAAACAGCAAAGGAAGCCTCCTTCTCTGACTTAAGTGACCTCTAGTGTAGGGGAAATAAGTTACCTGCCTCCTCTGTTAACTCTGTCGTGTGGTCTTATTATTGAACAATTATCAAGATTCCTACCTGGAAGTTATCTCTCAGACTTTATGCTTCATGTGTTTGTATTGTTAAAAACAATTTCTTACTTATCATAGGCTTGAAAAACACCTAGATTTCATACATGTTTTTTCTGGATGACGATATGTATTCTCAGTTTAGTAAATTTGTGGATTTTTGTATTTTGGAGAAAAAATTGCTTGAACTTTATTTATTTTCCACTTATGTATGCCAGAGAACTTGGGCTAAGTAAATCTTTCTATGATTTTCTATTACTTCATTAATTACAAACTTTAGCCTCTTCCATCTTTTGCTTCTGAATTCTTGTTTCAGTCCCCATAGTCTCCCTCTGCTTTCTCAGAGTCAGACATGAGGGTTGAGCATGTTCAGCCTGGAGAAAAGAAGGCTCAGGGGAGGCCTTATAACAGTCTTCCAATACCTAAAGGTTGCCTACAAGAAATCTGGAAAACGAGGTTTTACAAGGGCAGGTAATGACAGGGCAAGGGGGAATAGTTTTAAACTGAAAGAGGGTAGATTTAGATTAGACATTAGTAAGAAGTTCTTAACTGAGGGTATTGAGACAGGTTGCCCAGAGAAGTTGTGGTTGCCCCAACCCTGGTAGTGTTTAAGACCAGGCTGGACGGGGCTTTGAGCAACTCAGTTTAGTGGAAGGGGTCCCTGTCTGTGGCAGGGGGGTTGGAACCAGATGATCTTGAAGATCCCTTCCAACTAAAATCATTCTGTAATTCTACGGTCTGTCATATGAAAGAGTGAAAACAAGAAATGTAATCTTACAAGATCTGTGACCTCACTTCCATAGTTCTTAATTTCTGATAGTAGTACCTGCCAGTAATAAAAATGCAGAGGCTTAATTATTGATGTCATTTAAAATGGAGCATGTTTCAACACTATAATCTGCTATAGCAAACTTCCAATTTTATTTTTATTTTGGGGGAAGACTTTACAGAAGTCTTAAGAATTGCTTTTTATAAAAAAAAAAAATACAAAATAGACCACTAGATGGAGTGCGAGCATCAACCAGTTTGCATTAGCTTGAAATCCATACTTGCAAACACTGCTTTAGCTTTAGAAAGCCTTACTGTCTTTTGGACAACAGCTCCGCAATGTAAAAAATATATAGTAAAAAAAAAAAATGTTTATTTTTCAGCAGGTGCTGACAATAGTCCACCAAAACATTCAGTCAATAATGAAAGCCATTCATCTAGAAGGAGGAATCGGCACTCCAAATCAAAAGTAACGAATGGAATTGGCAAAAAGTAAGAATGGTTTCTGAAGATATCCTACAGTGTGACCAGAGTGACAAAGAAAATCAGACATGGCTCTGAATTTCCAAACCGAAGATTGATTTTTAAATTTAAAGATTAAAGAAAGGAAGTGTTGGAAGAAAAGGATGATCAAGATGGAACCACCAGTGTAGTGCTGATCATTGCCTGCTGACACTTGCCATTCACTGATTTAAATCTAGGTTCTTCAGCATGTGGCACCAAAAGCTAATGAAGAGTATGCTGGAAAGAAAAGTAATTTTATCATAGCAGGTACACCCTGTTTTGTGTTCAGGTGTTGCAAGTACATTTTTAATATCTTAGTTGAGGACTTAAACACAAAGGCTAGTAAACTGATAGTCAGTTGGTGTAGTTGATTTGATTCTTTTGTTTTACTATGTTTTTGTTATTTTCTAGAAGAGTATGCAATCCTTTGACTAAAAGCAACTCTGGCCTTCTTTCTGAGTCTCACAACTAAACTTTTCTATACAACAGTTAGTAAGTATTTAAAATATCCATACTCCTCTCTGTCTGCTTGCTTTTATGCAAAGGCTCTTCAGACCTGGTGATGAGATTTTACCAGTGAAGGAATGGGTCCAGGTTTCTTGTAAAGGATGTGAAATCTTTAAACACAGTTCTTTTGTTCTGCATTGTCCTTCTGCTTGATCATTACACATCTGATTTTTTTTTTTTAAGTTTTTAAAATATTTGTATAAAAACCTGTTGCAGAGTAGAGGGCCATGCCTCCTGCCCTCAGAGGCAGATGTCGTGTCATTTAGTTGTTTTTTCCTCCTTTACTGCACTGGGTTTTGCATGTTCAAGTGCAAATACATCATTTTTTCAGCTGTGTCACATTAGATACAGTGTTCCTTCCCATTCCCCTCAATTTGCCTTTGCCTTAACTGGAACCAGAAATCCCAGTGTCTTTAGACTGATATCAGAAAATGCTTTGAAGGCTCTGATGCTCTACTGAGCCTGGTGATAAGGCAGTTTTTTTGATGAAGCTGAGTTGCTTGCTGCTTCTGTAAAAGCATCATTATTTGTGAAGGCTTGCTGTAGTCTTTGGTGTCTGAGAGGCAGCATGATGTTACTGTGATACACTCCATTGCTTTGGTATTTCCTATCATGCAGTCAGATATCCAAGAGCAAAGTCAGTCTTTCTTGTAGGGTTTTTTGTGTGTGTTTTTTTGGGAGGGGGTGGTTGTTTGTTTTGGTTTTTTCTTGTTATTTTTTTTAATATATTAATTATGACATGTAGCAAAGTGGATAATTCTCCAGCAAGAAGCATAATGATAAGTCAAGAGGTTAACAATCAAGAGCAATCAGTTCCTGTATTAAGTTATCAAAATGTTTTTGTGCCAATTAGATTTTGGAATCATGGGGTTCAGAGGGGTAGATAGTTTAAGCAAAGATAAGTAATACCCATTAGTCACTTAATCTTATAAGAAAATGGGATTGCCTTTTTCTTTGAGTAATATTATTGTGATTTGCCACAGGCTAAGTACTTAGAAAAAACTGCAGCAGAGACTTTATGCAAGTGTATGATACTGTAAATAGAAAAAAGCATCCTGTGTAATCCATGAATTCCTATGTGCCACAGATTATCAGTGTTTTCAATGCACTTAAGCGTTGCTGCTGAACTCCTCAGAGGCCCTTCATTTCTCACCCTCCTTTCCAATCAGGCATGAAGTGTACAACTTAGGAAGTAACATAGTAGAAGCTGCTATATCATCGCTGCTACAGTGACATTAAACATTTGGTACATGAACAGATATGTTAGGGAGACTTTCAGGCTTTCCTGCAGCTACTTGGTTTTCATTCATACTATAGCAATTCCATGTATTGCCTCCTTATTCATAGTGTACTGCATATTGATGAATGTATTTGTAGATTCCTTTACATACTGAGACATGTTACTTTTTTAATTTTCTTGGTTAATAACTCAATCTGTGTAAGACTGAAAAATGGCATTGTAAATTTTCTATTGATTCAATACCAAAGCAAGAGATTGGAAGTCTAATGGTTTAGGTATCTTAAATACTGTGGTTTTCAAAGGTGAGAGCCTGTTTTGTACTTGCCACGTTATACACACCAACTATGTATACAAAGCTTACATGTGTAAGCAGATGCTGAAGTACAATATCTACTTGCCTGAGGGGACAAGCACACATTTTGTAAATGCAAACCTGGTGCTCACACTGCTGAACTGCACCCTAAAAATATTGGAAAGGCAAACGTGAAGTGTCATCTTGTTGGAAGCTGACTTCTGTATACTATTACAACAGCTTGGCCTTGAAGAAATGTTGTTTGACAACATCTTTAAAAATATTTCCCATGAAATCTTTTTACTTTTATTTTTTGTGTTTGGTTGGGGGTTTTTTGGCTGGGATTTTTTTTTTTTTTGTTTTGTTTTGTTTTTTTTGTTTGTATCGGTTGGGGTTTTTTTTACTACTTTAAAAGAGATGGCCAGGAAGAGGGGAAACATAAGTAAACTATTCAAGTGCTGCTTGGAAAATGGCCCTTTGTGTCCTCAGTCAGCAGTTCTGGCTGGAATTCCCATGTGTTCTCACAAGTCCTCCACTGACTGACAACTGTGTTTTCAGCCCCATCATTTTGGATGTGAGCTTTGCACTGCCAGGCGTTGGAAAGGTGCTTTTGATCACTGCTGTAAAATTAGTGATCTCAATTTTATCATGTATTGCGCTATTGCTGAACTCTGTATGTGTGTAACACCTACAATGACAAATCACTTAGCAACAAGCATCCATGTATGAGTTCTGCTGCGTGAACAATGTTTTGTAACAGTCATGGATGCACTGTCCTGTTTTTAATTACTTGTTCTGTCACAGCCTCTCATTCCTACTTTCCTGTTTCTGATGTTCTTTCCTTTCTCTGTCCTCTAGTGATCTCCTTGGCTGTTATGGAGAGATCTGAATTGGCTCTCCAGAGGCTGGCCACCAATGATGTCAGTCATTGAAGGGGAGGCTAATTCAGGGCCGTGTGGTGTAAGCAGAAGGTAGTGACAGGAACTTTAAATAGTGGATTAAATAAAAATGGAAAGTTTAAAAATGCAGGTATACAGTGAAACAGAGCTAGCCTTGAGTACTGGATTCTAGTATTAAAGTTGCTGCATAGATCATACACCACATGTAATTAATATTTGGACTGTGATTTCGACCAGTGCTTTTGTTACTCTTCTGTGAAGATCATAATTTGATGTTCCAGCTGTTAAAACTTTAATATTTTTTACTTTGTTTTCACAAGAGGACACAGATGTTATCATGTATTTAATAGTTTTTGAATAGACTTGCTCTGTATTGATTGCAAAGTATTGTATTTTGCAATAACTCAGTAAATCAACCCATGTCACCAGTGTGTGTGTTTGTCTGTACCTGCAAGGCATAGGAAATCATTGCATACTGCCTTTAGAAGCTATTACATTTTATTCCACGTAACTGCATGCTGACAATTCAGCAGTTCCTGAGCAGCCTACAGCGCACGCTAAGGTTTTGCTGTAATTTATTATTTTGGAGCAGCAGATCTGATAATATGAACAGTTACATTATGCCTTCTGAAGTTTCTCTAGTATACAGAGTAAATCTTGTCTTCATTATTCTTTCTTGGTTTTACTATTGGATGGGAGAGCTGAGTTGCAAGATGGTTTAATGACAGACTTTCTTGTAGAAGAAATGAGACTTCCTCTAGAAGAACTGCAAGACTGGCTATTGGCAAGTAAACTTCTGCCAGTATAAAGGTGTCATTGAGCATCAGAAACACTTTGCTTTGGCTCCACTGCTGCCACAGTTTCCACAACAGCGGTTTACAGTTGTTTTATATCCAAAACCTATTGTGAGCTGTTGATTGCTCTTTTGCTGCTGGCACTAGCCAACTACCTGTGTGAAGCACAGCTTTCCCTTTCTTCCTCAGTTCCTTCTCTCTACCAGCCTTGAATACTGGGACTTTCTGCCTTGCTGAGAAGGGTTTTTCTTTGTTATCTTTTTGAATACTGATTTACATCACAGTACCAATCAGGCCAGTAACCTGCCTGTACATGAGAGTTGTATGCATAAACTGCCAGGTTGGCTCTAGAACACCAGTCGGGTCTGGCAGAAGTACTTGGGGGGTTTTCAGTTTTCTGGAGCATTCCAGACGTGTAGTCACCTTTGGCATTGTACAGTTTGCTAGACATCTCCAGAACATCATGAAGAGCAGATCCTGCACGAGTCTTCCATAGTGTGTTTCTCACTCTGGACAGCTGCTCAACAAAGTTTATCAAGTTCCCTCATATTTAAAAGATTAGTCCAAGTCACGGTTATCTCAAAAAGCTTTGGAAATGTTGAGGATCAATCTGTATTTCCAGCTCCTTCTTCTGTCTTTAATTTGGACTGTATCTTCCTGTGTTTCCATCATCTCTTGGTTAAAGACTGGAACTGGTCTTTCATGCTTGGACTTTGCTTCTCTCACAAATGAGCAGTCCTGCCCTCAACAGTCTAAATGATATTATAGTAAGACCAAATGAGTTTTTACTTCAATTCAGAAAAAAAGTGTGGGAAAGAATGTGAATTGTAAACATTGAATTCCTATAATCAGCAACTATGTGAGTGCCAGACTATACTAAGCATACACATGGGTTTAATTTTCATAGTTTTCATGGATCTCAGTTTGCAGATGATCATGAAATAACTGGATGGCTTATTTAATGTTTTTTAGAGTAGGGAATTTACAGCAGTAGCATTCCTTATGGCCATGATCCAAAGTATGTTCTACAAAGGATGTGTCCTCCAGTTCAGTATTCTGGTGGTTCTTGCTTGAAAAATGCATAAATTACTTGTGTGTATGCATATATACGTATAAATCTACCAGATGAGCTTTCTCATCAAAATGCTTAGGACTTGGCTGAGTGATGTCTCTGTGACGATGTCTGCTGTGGAAGCATCCAAGTCTGTATGTACCCCTATAATGTCCAGGACAATTCGGCACTAATCTCAGTTGCAGCCCCTAGGTGATGCTCTAACACAAACACACAGGGAACATGACCTGGATTTGAACAGGTTGCTTCTAATTTTGGGCTACCAGCTTTAACCACTCTGGCTCAGTTTTAAAGACTTCATAACTCCTGTTGACTTTAATTACATGTGCTGTGCACACAGGCCTGCAACATGCCCATCTTGTCAAACTTGCTGCAGAACAACCAAAGCAAAATGAAATCAAATGAGTAGCTTTGAGGAGGCTTTTAATTAAAATGTTAAATGATAGCTCTGGTCTTTGGAGTACAAGAGTGACAGACTTCT